CCTCAACCCTATACCTTAAACCCTAAACCCTAAAGGCCTCTATATTGGGATCGCAAGTATCTGCCGAAACGGCCAGCAGCTCGGAGTTCTGCAGTACATCGCTTTCTGCCCGTCGAAAAGACGCCAACTGCTAGGGTTTAGGGTTTAGGGTATAGGGTATAGGGTTTAGGGTTTATTTAGGGTTTAGGGTTTAGCCTAAGCCCCCAAAGCAGGTAAACTCGTGGCCCCACACCTGCCAAAGGCGATTAGTCTACATACTTTTTTCGGGTCAAGGTGGGTGTTTGTGTCTGCTCTCAGCGACAACAGAGTCTTCATCAGATTTTGATGGATCTTCTACCCACCAAGGCCACCTTATCGGCTTGTGGCTCAAACGCGCCTATAGTCTCCATTGTAGTTCGTTTTTGGTTAAGCGGTCTTATGGTTAGGATCCTATACTATAAATTGCTTTAACGAAAAAAGGAACCACAACGGAGACTATAGGCATACAACAGCATCACGAAAGCGGGTCATATCCTGAGGATCCACGCGATCCAAGGGGTTGGGGATGGAGGGTTCGGGGTTCCAGGCAAGTCGTGGATGTCGGGACCGGGTCCTAAACCATAAACTCTAACCCTAAACCCTAAACCCTAAACCCTGAACCCTGAACCCTGAACCCTGAAACTCCAAGCGCAAGGCTCGGGGCCTTGATAATTAGAACCGGGTTTTGGGGTCCTTTATAGTAGAATTTTAATAAGGAGCCCTAAGGAAAAAATATAGGTAATCATTATTAAACCCTAAACCCCGAACCCTGAACCCTAAACCCTAAACCCTAACCCCTGAACCCTTACTAAGGCCGCTATATTAAACCCGAAAGCCCAAAGACGCGAGACCCTTATTATTATGTTTTTTTAATCCCTGATGTGGGATGCCTCAAGGGATCACCTACTAAGGATTATTAAAACTCTATGAAACGGATCCCTTCTAAGGGATGCCTTCAGGAATCATCAAACAAGGGATCCCTTAAATTAAAGGTGATCCCCTAAACCGTGAACCCTAAAGGGGATCCCAAAAATCCTTCCAGCCCTGCATGTAGGGGCCTTAATAATTAGAATAGGGTTTGTAGTACATTATAACATTATTATACTAAGGAGCCCCCGAAACCCTATTCTAATTATTAAGGCCCCTACATTAGCCCGAAAACCCTAAACCCTAAACCCTAAACCCTAAACCCATTAGCCCGAAAACTCGGAGGAGGAGTCGGAGGATGCATTCGCCAAGTTCATCGACCGCTGGAGCTTCCAACGGGCGAGGGTTCAGGGTTTAATATCGAAGGGGTTTAGGGTTTAGGGTTTAGGGTTTAGGTAGGCCTTTGGGACCGTTTATATTTTCCCTTATTGGGCTTAAGAGGATCTTAATATAGAAGTTTAGACAATTACCAAAATTATTCCTTAGGGTTCTTTATTATACCTATACTTTTAGGGAGCTCGGAAGCCTATTGTGATTCCTAAGGCCCCTACATTAGGGTTTAGTTTTGACTGTGGTTTCCGGAGTTGGGGTTGATGGGATTTCGGGAAGTTGTGGGTTTAGATGCATTGGTTTTAGGGGTTTGAGGGGTGTAGGTTTAGTTGGCAGTGTCAAAACAATCTTGTTCTTTGGGCCATATTACAGCCATAGCAACGATAACGACAATACTAATGATGATGCTAATCATACTAAATATTGATATTTAAAGCTATTATTTGTATTATGACTTTAATATTAATAGTAATATTGACAATAACCATGATGCTCATCAGCAAAATCATAATAATAGCATTAACAATATTCATCAACATTAATAGGAAGAAAGTAACACTAGTAATAATCGCAATCATGCTGCCACTAGTAGTAGATATACAACTCCAATAATGATACTACATATGACCCCCCCAAAAAAAAACAAAAAAAAAACACCCAGGAGCACCAACGGCGGACTGCTTTTGGGATCCGTGATCTTCATCGGCCTTGGTATCGGCCTCGAGGCACAAGCCGCGTTTCTGCTTCGGAGCATGGAGACTTCGGAAGACCGCCAGTAGTCAGTCTCAACAGCGTAGGTCCGTTTTAGGCCCCATAGTAGTTCCTTTTTGGGATTACTTTATAGGATTCTATATATGATCCCCCAAAAGGAACTACTTTAGGGTTTAGGGTTTAGCTACAATATCAAGATGCGTGAATAGTTTTCACAAGGCAGCTCTTCTACCTACTCATACCGCTATCTCGACTCTCGCCGAATGCACATGTCATGTACTGCTGTCCGGTTTAGGGTCTTAGGATCGACAGGTCTAGGGAGTACGATTTAGGGGCCTTCGGGTTTGGGCTTTGCCGCAACATCCCATGCGCCCTGAACCCGAAGATGCCCTGAAGCTTCGATCCTGGCAGAAATTCCTGGAGCTCTTCCTGGATTGGACCAAGGCGCGGTAAGTGGGGCAGGGGGGGATATAGGGCTTTGAGAGCACTTGCACACCCTGAACCCTAAACCCCCATTAAACCCTGAAATACCAACAAAGCCCCACAACCCTCGCAGGCGCGAGCGGTCCGAAGACCTGCCACGCAAAACCCGGAACCCCATAATTCCACACTCTAAGACCTAGGAGTCTGCGCCGCAACATCCCGGCTCTCCACCAAAGAATCCTTGAATTCTGTGAGGCTGGTATGGCCATCACCTTCATGTACTCGCCCGGGCCCCACTTCGAAACTTCGAGCACAAGACCATCCCAAGATACAACACTAATGCCTTCCTCCGCGACAGCATGCAATAAGGGCCTTAACAAATAGGATTTAGGGGTATATTATACTATAATTATAAAACGGAACCCCCCCAAAGTAGTATAGGTGATTATTTAGGCCCCTACACCACTGTATAAGCGCAGCAAGTTTCATGTTCCTGCGGTTGCCTGAGAATCCGTGAAACCCCAATGGCAGTCGTTCTCGTCTTTGTGCTCTTCGTCGTGGCAGTCGTAGTCGGGGGTGGTGTTAATACAGGTTTCTCAATAATTACCAATACCATTGTGGGGTTCCTTATTATTATTATAGTTAAAGCCCCAAACACTAATCTAACTACTAAGTCCCCTACATTAATCTGAGATTGGATGCATTGCTTGCAGCGATCATCGTCAGAATGGTCCTGGAAGTTCACCGCGGAGCCCTTATCATACCTAGAGTCCAACTGTAGTTCCCTTTTTGGCTAACCAATGTTATGGTTAGGATCCTATATTTGGTTAATCAAAAACTAGGAACTACAATGGAGACTATAGGCATAAACCCTAAACCCTAAAACCCTAAACCCTAAAACCCTAAACCCTAAACCGTCCCTGGTAACACTTAGAAGTCTCGCGGCATCTCGCTGTCCAAGGGCCGGCCTCATCATCTGGCTCTCCCAGTGCCCCGGTGGTCAAAGGAGGTTTGTGTGCTCGGTGCGAGGCGGAGGATTTAGGGATTTAGGGTTTAAGGGGAGGACACCACTAGCAGAAGAGACGATGAAGAGTCAAAACAAGGCTCACTAAGGACCTTGTTCGCATATTCATAGTACTGCATGGGCAGCAGCTGTTGTTGGATTCGGGCATGGCTGCAAAAGCATCACTTGGAAGGAGCTGCGCTGTGCAACCCTAACGTGTTTGCTCAAGCGTTCCAGAAGCGAGAAACCACCTGCAAGAGTGTAGTCGTCAAATCATGGTCCGCACATGCCACTTCGTTTGCCTGGCATCCTTTGATGCCCAAGCCCAAACCCTATCAAGCATATACTCCAAACCCTTAAACGCTCAACCTCTGATAAGTTTGAGGAGGAACAGTCAGGATTGGATCTTGCACCGTTTGCAAGTTGCAGCAGACAGGGGTACGAGTTCGGCCTCCCCACAACACCAAGCTACAAGCCAAAGCCCCGTTTCCTTCCATCCCTAAGCCCTCAAACCCCTAAAGCCCTCAATCCCTAAACCCTCAAACCCTTAAAGGCCTCAATCCCTAAAGCCCTCAAACCCCTAAAGCCCTCAAGCCCGAAACCCCTAATGCCCTCAACCTGAAGTCGTGAGCCAAAACGACTGCGACCATGACCTTCTTCATACCTGGCCATGCGAAAGTGCCATGACTCCGACGCCATATGAGTCGCTGGCCTCCCAGCAGGGCTTTGCCTATAAAACAGACAATTTAGGGCTTAGGAAGTTTAGGGTTTAGGGAAGCAGGGGCTTCGGAAGTTTAGGGTTCAGGCTTTTGGGGTTTAGGGTTTTCATAAACGGCCAAAAAGCCTAAGCCCTAAGCCCTAAACCGTCGGTGTGGATCTGGAGGCCACGCTGCTTAGCTGTTCACGTGTGAAGGTGAGGCAGTGTCGTACTGGTATAACCCCCATATGTCCATGTTCTTTCTTATTTCGCCTTCGGAGCATTACTTTAGGTGCTTTCATGAAGAGTCTCAGATTACACGAATCCTCATACAACCCAAAAACCCTATGAGCCCAGCAACCCGCAAGCCCCAAAAACAGCCGAAGCCCTGAACACAAAGCCCCAAAGCCCCGAACTCTGAACCCTCAAAGCCTCAAGAACCCCAAGCAGCCGCAGCACTCGGCCCGGTATAGCTACACCCCGTCGCCGGCCGAGGACTGCGGGGGATAGGGCAGGAGCTGGCGTGGCAGTTGTCGGAGAACAACTTCCTGCGGGATACGCTCAAACCTTAACCCAACTAGGGTTTAGGGTTTAGGGATTTAGGGATTAGGGCTTTCGAGATTTTAGGTTCTAGGGCATTTTAGGGATTTTAGGGTTTAGGGTCCGTTTTTTTTAAGTCCTAACTAGCCTTAATAGATGTTTAGGGTTTAGGAAAGAGCCCTAAATCTACGTCCCCTACACCCTCAAACAAAGCACTACCCAAAACCCGAGGCCCTTCCCATTTGGCCCTAAACCCCAATTCTTCCCCCAGGTCAGCAGCGGACCTAATTCGGGACCTGTTGCCCAAGAGGCCTCATGACCAGTTCAGGGTTCGGGGTTGGAGATGTTCAGGGTTTAGAGTGTCAAGGTTTAGGGTGGCGGAGCCTTCGTTCCTCACTGAATGCCCGTTGAAGTTACTGAAGGGAGTATGGGAGCTTCCCTATTTTCTGAGATCCTTCTGTTTGCCCCGGCTTGCCATGGCATGCCCTGGCCATAACACCAAATCTTCATCAGTTCCTTGCGGTTTGCAGTGCTCTTCGTAAGCTAGCATGTGCAACCCATCACAGACGGCACATGCCTCGACAATTTGCAGCCGAGCCACAGTCATCATACCCAGGTTAATATGTATGTATGTATGTATGTATGTATGTATGTATGTATGTATGTATGTATGTACGTATGTATGTGTGAATATATATAATTATATATATATATA